TTGTTGCACTAAGCCCTGGTTCAGCCTCTTATTTCCCATACTTAATAACCCTTTTCTTCCTTTCTCGTCACTCAGAAGGATGCAGGAGAACGGATGGTGCATAACCTCACAACCATTCATAAGATGAACATAAGATGATCTCCACTGGATCAGATGAAATGTCCTCTAAAGTCCCACATCCTGTTTCCAGTAGTGCTAGCCAGATGCTTCCTATATCCAGGACGTGAAATCAACATTCACCTTCACACACACACCCCAAAAAACCCTTGTCCCAAATATTTGGTATTTAGAGTTCTGTTAGCACTGAATGCTGAGTTCTACTTAGCGATCATATCTAAAAATTAGTGATAATACAGTATTAATAAGATAGTACATAATATATAGTACAAGCCCAATATTAATAATGGTGATAATAAAAAAGGAGAATACCCAGGAAGTTACTGTATGTTATAGGCAAAACAATCCTAAAAATGTTGGCTGCATTTTTAGTCTAAATTTTTCTTCCCTGCTCCATGTTTTTTTTAAATCAATCAATGACAAGCAACGCATGCCATTGCAGCAAATCAGGTATAGATTGCTCTTTCCAGCTTTGTATGATAATTCTTTTAGGCAGTCCCTATGCTCCTCCAAATCCACAATTTTAAAATTCAAAATATTAGTATTACAGTCAAGATCATTCCTTCTGATTTCAATCAATCCAGAATGATATTAAAAATCATATTGATTTCAACCCAAGTGGCAAGCTACCCGAGTTAAAATTTCCTTTTCCTCAGCTACTGCATCTTCAGCTACAAGAGAATTGCAACCAATCCTTATTAAACAGTTTATGAGATGCAGTAATATTAAATTAGTTTTCCACTTTATTATTTGAAGCAATCCCAAATTGATTTAGAAGGCAGGGCTTTCAAAGTTGATTATTTCAGGGTCATATAAATTATCCCCTGAACTTAAAAAAAAAAGTACTGAATTATGTAAGTACAGTAAAAAGGACAAAAAGGTGAAAGCAGAAGCATCTCCAAGCAATATATATCCTTTCCAGATATGCTTTAAGGCTTAAAAGATGTTTGTAACAATTGCACAGCAACCTTAGTTTTCAGAAGGGAAGGGAAGAAACATGGGAGAAACACCCATAAGCACTTCGTGTACCTGATATCTTCAGGAGGGGCGTTTTGTCCCCAGCTACATCCTGAAGGAATTGCTGCTCTGATGTTCTGGGAAATCAGCCAAGAAGTTTGGATTATTTTTATAAGCCCATAAAAGCACTTGGGATTCATATGAAGGGGGCCCTACATATAAAGAATAGATGCATGAAATACACATGGGGGAAGCTGAGTGGAAATCTGGAGAACAGTGGAACTCTAGTAGCTGTGATCCAATTTTCCGAGAATGTCTTGAGGAAAGCACTTAGTTTCTTTTGAAAAATCAGCCTTTTGGAATCATTTTGTATTATTCCTGATTTGTTCTTTCTTTCAAATTCAGGAGCATCTGATCCCCTTCTTTGCTGAATTCACTGTTAATAATTCCTGTGTGGTATTTTGCTTTTCTTTATATATGAATGCGTATAGGCTGCTTGTAAATTCCGCAAGAATTCAAAACAGTGATATATGTGTGTGCGTGGGGGGGGAGGGATAGAATAGAGTAAATAGTGGGATCATATTAGACTCTACACTTTTTCACTATTCTGTGACAGTTTTTTGTAAGTGCAGTATGAAAGAAAACATGTATGAAAGAAGGCAAAGAACATTCAGCTCTTGGAAGTCCATGGTAGACATGTGATGTGACTTGGGAGCTCCCAGATAACAGCCCTTGGCACAGCTAATAGGAGGGTGGCAGACTCAAATTGTTGTTTGCTCTTAATTAAGTAAGCAAGAACAGCGCTGCCACCTCCCCTGACATCCTAAGGCAATAATTTCAGGGGCATAGATTTCTCCCTCCCCTTTCCACTTGATCTCTCCAAAGTTATCCTTAGTTCCTTAGCTGGGTTATGTCCTTGAACTCAGAGCTAAGATGCAAAGTAACAAAGTTGACTATTCCAAACTATCCATCCCATTTTGAACTATTATAGATTAATCCCTGCTCAGAAAATTAAAAGCAAGTAAAGACAGTCTTGTAAACTCCCATTAGCATACAGTTGCATTGTGGAAAGTCAGGGTTGTTTAAAATAAAAATAATAATATAAGAAGAAAACATAATGGCTACTAAACAGTTGACCTCTAAGAAAAACACTCATAGCACAGAACTATGAACCCAATGAAATGAATGCCTAGATGGCTACAGATTCACAGAAATAAGACCACCAGTAGGAAACATATGTCCCAAGCTGCATTGATCTCTGATCAACCTGCAGGACAGATTAAATATTCAACGTAATCTAGTATACCTGATTTCTCATTATATTCTATAAGATCTACTGAATCTATCCTCTTGTTGAGACCATCTATGCGTCAGAGGTCCAGGGTGCCAGAAACAGATGACATGAGGTTTCCCTCTAGCTATTTATTTTTACTTATTTATTTTTATATACATATATACATATACATATACATACACACACACACACACACACACACACATATATATATACACATACATACATACATACATATATACATACTTGTTTTCTTAAGTTTTCGCTAGTACTTACATGTATGGCATTCAGCTTTGTTCGGGTATTTTTCCAAGTCATTGTAGTTGTGCTTTTGAAGTTGTAGCAATGTTTCGGCAGAATCTCATCTGCCATCATCTACTATGTTCATCTGTGAGTCAGGCTTTCACAGCTGTTTCTTTTTTAAAGTTGGTGCTAGCCTACTACTGTGTTAGAATGTTTTTTTCTTGATCCTGATTGGTTGGGAGTCTTGGTCTGTGTTTATTGGTCTTGGAGTTTGCTGTGTTCTGCTTGATTGGTGTTTCTAATATCTTCTGTCTGTTTTGTAGCTTTTTTTGTCTTGATTGGCTGGCAACATTGTGTTTCCTGTATTGGAGGCTTTTAGTGTGACTTGGCTCCGAGTAAACGGACGACTATCATTTATTAGGCCAAGCTGCACTAAAAGCCTCCAATACAGGAAACACAATGTTGCCAGCCAATCAAAAAATGCTACAAAACAGACAGAAGATACGAGAAACACCAATCAAGCAGAACACAGCAAACTCCAAGACCAATAAACACAGACCAAGACTCCCAACCAATCAGGATGAAGAAAAAACCATTCTAACACAGCAGTAGGCTAGCACCAACTTTAAAACAGAAACACAACCCTGATGATGGCAGATGAGATTCTGCTGAAACGTCACTACAACTTTAAAAGCACAACTATAATGACATAGAAAAATACCCGAACAAAGCTGAATACCAATGATCTAATAAATATCGATTTTACAGAAGACAATGTTGAAAAAGCACTGCGCAATCTAAAACCATCTCTATCTATTGGACCGGACGGAATATGTGCTTACTTCTTAAAAAAGCTATCCACTGCCATAGCCGAACCTCTAAGCATAATCTTTGAAAAATCTTTCAGGACCAGCTCCTTGCCAAAAGTATGGTCACAAGCCACGGTCATCCCCATCTTCAAAAAGGGAGACCCCAGCCTATTTGAAAATTACAGACCAATCTCTTTATGCTGCATCACCTGTAAACTCATGGAATCAATTATAAACCAATCCATCATCCTCCACTTAGAAACAAACAACCTACTCTCTAATAAACAATTTGGTTTCAGGAAAAAACTATCATGTAATCTGCAACTCTTACACTGCAAAAACATATGGACTACACAACTCGATCAGGGCAAAACAATGGATGCAATCTACACAGACTTCTGTAAAGCGGTACGCAACAAACTACTCCTAAAACTAAAATCTTATGGTATCTCTGGACACCTGCATAACTGGATAGAAGCATTCCTGTCAAACAGACAACAAATGGTCAAAATTGGGAACGTCCTATCAAATTCTGTACCTGTCAACAGTAGTGTCCCCCAAGGCAGTGTTCTAGGACCAACTCTTTTCATATTCTACATAAATGACCTCTGTGATTATATCAAGAGCAACTGCGTTCTCTTTGCTGATGATGTAAAGCTATTCAACACCACAGACAATATTACTACCTTTCAAAAAGACCTTGACTATGTATTGGAATGGTCAAACAAATGGCAACTTCAAATCTCAACAAATAAATGCTCTGTCCTACATATTGGCAAAAAAAACCAGAAAATAAAATACAGGCTGAATAGTCAAGACCTTGTTGATGATCCAAACTCTGTCAAGGATCTTGGAGTACTCATCTCTAACGATCTAAGTGCGAGAGTCCACTGTAACTACATAGCCAAAAAGGCATTAAGAGTTGTTAACCTAATCTTACGTAGCTTTTTCTCTGATAATATTACGCTAATAATTAGAGCATACAAAACATTTGCTAGACCAATACTCGAATACAGCTCATCAGTCTGGAACCTGCATTACATATCTGATATTAATACAATTGAGAAAGTCCAGAAATATTTCACAAGAAGAGTTCTCCACTCCTCTACTCGTTGCAGAATACCTTATGCCACCAGACTTGAAATTCTAGAACTAGAAAACCTAGAACTACGCCACCTGCGGTCCGATCTAAGTATAGTATATAAAATCATACGTTGTAATGTCCTACCTGTCAATGAATACTTCAGCTTCAACCATAACAATACAAGAGCACACAATAGATATAAACTCAAGGTTAATCGCACCAAACTTGATTGCAGGAAATACAATTTCAGCAACAGAGTGGTCAATGTCTGGAATACTCTACCCGACTCTGGTTTCTTCCCCCAAAACTTTAACCTTAGACTGTCTACTATTGACCTCACCCCTTTCCTAAAAGGTCTGTAGGGGGCGTGCATAAGCACACCAACGTGCGTACCGTCCCTGTCCTATTGTTTTTTTTTTTAATTTTTCTTATATGTATCCATGTATTCAAAACTATGTTTTTACTTATACCTATTATCTTGTAAGCAATTGACAAAATAAAATAAAATAAAAAAAAATAAATAAATCATGCCTTCTTTCTGTCATCAAACCAAATGGAGGGCTTTTCTTCCCTAAGGAATCAGACCGGGGCAGTTTTTGCCAACCTGGACTTCCAAGAAGCATATTACCAAGTCTGGCTTAAGGAGGGTGACAAGGGGGAAACCATGTTTAACTGCGCCTTGGGATGTTTCAAATTCCGAATTCTCACTTTTGAACTACACCCCTCCACTGTCTTCTTGCAGCTAATAAATGAGGT